CCACGCACTATTCAAAAATTTTCTCACCAATGCTTTCTTCCTTCACGTAAAAACTGTCACCCCATCTTGTTGTTAGGTGCAGACAGCAGCGCCAATGAAATCTGCTTTTAATTATTGTTAATATATAACACTATAATATTAATAAAAAATTATTACTGCCATTGAACCGCGCGTTTCAGATGCGTTTCAGGGGGGTGAGAGGGTATTGAAAATATTCCGAATTTGCGTTACGTGAAATATGGACGGTCCCTTATTTCGTGAACAGTGCATCGTTAATGTTGTCGCAGTAAAGAGGCGCTTCCTTCACATGGGGCGCGACTGGACTCAAAACATGCTTTCGCGGTTGCAAGTGGTTTTTGTTTGACTTGAATATTTATTATCAAGTTTTGCCATAAACGTACGTTGCTACTCTTGGTTACAATTCTACTCAGAACAGTATAAGCACGAGCGAAGGTATTTCGGAGCTGAAGAAAACGTGCAGGTATTGCACATCTCCACCGTCCATCTCAGAGCCCGTGTTTGACGTTAAAAGCATTAAGCAGATGCCAGAGTAGTTCCTTAAACAAAGGGCCTCGGACCATGCACGATCCTCCTTTCCATCTGCATCTCGTTTCTACATTTAGTGCCCAGCAATGGGACGATCCCCCGTCTTAATATAATCCAGTGTGGTCCAACATTTAGTTACAAGACAGCCATTCGAACGTAGAAAATGGAAGTACTGACTAGAGGCATTAAAGAAAGAAAACGGCGTTAATATATCTCTGTAGTTTAATATATCACTTTATTTTACACTCGAGAAATCAATGTAATGATTGGTATTACTTTTTTGATGCAAGTTAATAATAAATGCCCACTGTAAATTCAGTAAAGTCTCAGGCTCGATTCCAGTGAAGCACTTTCAATGCCATTTATCGATTTCGAATGAATTTGTTTCAGGGATCGGAAAAACCCTTTTTCACGCACCTATATGTGCTGCCAAACAATACATTTTTTTGCACTGAGAATTTAAGAATTTTGGGGAAACGTTCTTTAGAAATCAGTTTCCAGAAAATTTCAGCGAAATAACAATTTTACTTTCTCGCTACGGAGTAGAAAGGAAGTTACGTAACGCTGCTCAAAAAAACAGCGAATTTTTGGCAGAAAAGCTCTTGTTACATGGCTCTGGTGACGAAAAAGTGGATAAATTCAGTATCTAAATTTAGACAAAAAATCCTCTATAAAGTGGTGTAGTCCGGTTTCATGTTCTATAAGTCCTTGATACCAAAAAATCAAATCACGGCAAAACGTCTGTCCGTCTGTGAACAGACACGAACTCGCGTCTGTGAGCATGTCTAGCGCTAAACCGTTCACACGATTTTCTTCAAAATTTATCTTCCCCAATCGATTTGGCCGATATCACATCCTCTTGAATTTAAAACCGATATTTTAATTTTGGGGGGTCCTTTGCCCCTGGGGCATTTTCCAAACCAATCCGCGATTTTCTACTCACATGTGTCGTCGCGCCAACTTTCTTCCTCAAGCACACACATCTCTACTTGCTCACGGCTCAAAGCAATCTGCTAGTTTTTCTGTCCTCAATAATACTTTCTTTGCGCGTTTCTTGTTACCATTGTTTCTACAGCACATTGATGCTCTGCCGTCACCCTTTGCTATTGCATACACTAATTCCCTTTGTTATATTTTTATGATGTATTATTAAATATAATTTGAATCTAAATTAAATGCATTTGTTACTGAAAAACTGTTGTTTCTTTATTTGAACGTCCATCTCTTCTACTGATGTGTCAGTTCGACTGTCTGTCCATCTATGAATAGTAACGCCTAAACTGTACGTAGGAGTTTTTTCAAAATGAATGTTCCGTGATCAACCTTACTCGATTCGAGAACGGACAGACGGACGTTTTGAAGAAAAACACTTTTTCGGTATCAGGAGGTCCCATAACGTGTCATTCCGTTGAAATGTCGAAATCGATTTTTTGCAGCATTACTCAACTTTACTCCGCATATAACAGCATTACTTTCCCTATACTACGTATATAACTCCGTATATACGTACGTATACGGGAAAATAAAAATTATTCAATCAGAGCAGAATGTGTTTTCGACAACCTTAGGAAAGAACGCTACGCTTCTACAGTAGTGGAAAGATTATCGTGTAGGCTTTCACATGGAACCCTCGCCTCCCCTTCAACATGTAGGACTTCGAGAATCCATTTCGCGGCAACACTGAGTTAAGGTGATTCTTTGAAACCTTCAAACTAAAGAAAAAAACAAATAAACATGTTTTAAAGCAGCTATTTTCAAACAGGGTTTTGTAGTTATCTGAGTAAGCTTTCTACCTGTATCGTGAGGTATAGAAAATTTCAGCTTAATGAAAAAAAATCAAATTTTCATTTAACTATTATTGATTTTGATGCAACTTATAATGTTATCTCGATATCTCCAAAGAGCAAAAAAACACCGAAGTTGCGGCAGCGGAACATACTTTTTCGTATCATTTATAACAGTTTCAGATTTTTTATGAAAATTGGACTTGTGTCATAATATTTTGTAAACATTCCTGCATTCAAGTAAAAAATAAAGAAAAATGTTGGATCTGTTTATTATATAGAGGTTTTTTAATTGCTACCATTTCATTCAAAGTTATTCGAAAACTACTTTAAAAAAATTAAAAAATGTACCTGACATTATTTAAAAAATAATGTTAAAAAACAGATTTTATTACAAAGCCATCTTCAATAGTGTAGTTGTAGGAATATGACGAAAAAAATAAATTTTGCAATTATTATCGAAAATTGAGAAGTTTTACTGGAAATTGGATGTGCGCCATTTTTTACCTTTAAGTTGATTACTTGACTTTGTGCTTTTCAAGCAAAAAATGTTTAAAAAACGAGGAGCCATTTTTTGAGGACATTTTAAAAGTGTCACTGGAACTTTATGCAAAGTGCGGGTGTGGTGTAACAGTTAGCGTATCGGACTATTATACCCAAGTTGGCGGGTTCAAACACGATCGAAGTCGTGGATTTTTTAAGGGAGAAAAAATCCTTCGACCGCCTTCTTTCGAAGGGGAAGTAAAGCCAGCTGTTCAATGTTACTAGATTTACTTGCATGTAAAAAGATGCTCAAGCCTAAATGAAGCATCTGAGCTAAATCCAAATCGCCTGTTTCGTGGCCTTGCGTCGCGCCTTCGTCGCCTGTGCCGTTGCATGGTCGGACGGAAGAGCGGGCCTGATGGCCCGAGTCTCGCCACGTAAAACAAGGCACCAATTCAATTCAATAAAGAATCCGTAATACATCCGTTTTGAATGTGCGGAGCCGCGACTTCAGCTAGATCGATAGCGGGATGTCATTTTGGTGAAATCGCCGTGTACGGTTTTGGCGCTAGTTTTGTCCAGACACAGATGAACACTTCGGGAGTAAATAGTCATTTATGCACCAAGGATGTTATACGGTTACTTAAAAGTCAGTTAACACCCAAGGTACGTACGAGATTTTATTTGCACCGAATTTTAATTATTCAGATTTACTAATTAACTACATGTTAACTGGACTAGGTTTGTTTGTTGTTGTTTTTTTCACTTTTGCCTCCCATAATTCCCTTTTACAATTCCCTCCATAAGTAGCTTCATTCAACTGTTTTCATATTTCCCTCATAACCACAATCCTTTGGATAAAGGTAAGTTATTCGGTGACTATCGAGCTCCGTATTGAAAGCAATAACATATCAGTAAAAAATAAACACTTTTTCGGTGAATTCACAAAACCCGAATTTTAACCCCTCTACATGTTCGACTTGCTGCATACATGAACAAGAGTAACTAACTTTTTCGGTAGCAGTTACCCACGTAACAAGGTTTTTCCATAAAAAATCGACACTTTTTCCTTAAGCATTTCGTAACTTTTCGAAGTACATGCGTGAAAGTAAAAATGGGAGAAAGCGGATAATTTATTTCAATAAAGCTTTATAAATCCGGAACCCTAGGGTGGACAGAGTTCGACACCAACTAAGGCTCTTGGTCCACGTCGACCTCTCGACTACCCTGATAAGTGGTTTCCGTCATTTCCTCGAATCAATTCCGTTTGGATGGTGGAGTAGTTCTTTAAATAACGGGCTATGATCAGTACATCAGTATATCAATGGATTTTTGTGAGTTTAGGTACCAGTCACATCGTACAATTATCACTTGACACTACTAAAGGTCTAAAATTACTCTACTCCTGACCGACGACTTCTAGAATTACTCACTTGTTAAAGTAAATTTGAACGAATTAACAAATGATTAAAGAAAATCATGAAAACAGTAAAAAACTAAAAAATCATACTCACCGTGGACGTGGTTGTGGTTTTTTTTTTTTTTTTTTTGGAAAATTTCGTCGTAATGTGAAAATCCGCCCAAAATCTCTCACGATTCGATGCATTTCCATCCATTGGGCGGTATTCCGCAAATTCAATTTTTGTCCTGCGGGAGAGAGAGCAGATTTACAGCCCGAAAAGTGGACATCCACGCAATGTGTCAACCGTGCTGCTGCCAGCATTACCTCCCCATCCAAAGATATGCATTGATTCCTCTGTGTGTGTATGTGTGTGTGTGTGTGTGTGTGTGTGTGTGTGTGTGTGTGTGTGTGGCAGGAGCGGACGCGGTATTCCTCAAAGTCAATGTTTGTCCCGCGAGTTTTGAGCCCCAAAAGCAGACTTCCCCGCAATGTAGCAATCCTGCGGCTGCCAGCTTTACTTCCCCATCCCAAGACATGCATTGATTCCTGTGTGTGTGTGTGTGTGTATGTGTGTGTGTGGGTGTGTGTGTGTGTGAGTGGCAGGAGCGGACGCGTTATTCCGCGAAGTCAATTTTTGTTCTGCAAGAGAGAGCAGAAAAGCGGACTTACGCGCAATGTGGCAACCGTGCTGCTGCCAGCTTTCCTTCCCCGTCCGACGGCTTGCACTGCTTGTGTTGCGGCAGGCGCGGGCGCGGGCGAGGGCGCGGGCGCGGGCGCGGGCGCGGGCGCGGGCGATGGGCGAGCCGACGTCGCCGTCATCGGGGTCGTCGCGGGCGGCGCCGCTGCGGCTGCGCTTCGCGCGCGGGGCGCTCAGCTGCTGCACCCACTGCGGCTACCCGCAGCGCTCGCTGTGCTGCTTCGGCTGCTCCTACTCCACGCGCGCCATCTTCATCGGCTCCGGAGGCGTGGTGCGTACTGGCGCTTGATGACTGCTCTAAAGGCCCATCTACAATGCACAGGCGAACCGCGTAGACATAAACATTAACAGAAGTGATAGACTGAAGTATTCACAATGTCTAGTATAAACATAAGCAAAATAGGAGTTTCTATTGGCTACGAGACATTCTGGTTTACTATCGACTGTATCCATGGCCCATATGGCGTTAGTTCTTCTATCGACTTTGCTCCAATTTCGATTCTCGATTTTGAATTACCATTCTGTGATTGGTTCATTTCTTATGTCTTACTTAAGCATAAGCAGAGACGCTTGAAGCTTCCAAGCTTTTAAATTTACGTCTTACTTGTTATGTTTATGTGAACACATTGTGAATGACTCCGTTTATAGATATAGTCCTAACTTTTATGTTAACGCCATCCTTAAGTTTATGTTTGCATTGTGAATGGGCCGTAAAACTCCTTGACCATGTCGACACCAATGCCTGATACGTTGCTTAAAAATTATGCAAAATGTTTCGTTTCTCATAACTTTGTTTGATGAGATCTCCAGAATTGACAAAATGTCATCTGCAATCCCTTTGACAAGTGATATTTGCCCCTTTTCGATATGCAACTTATCTTACACTGGTGTTAGCCAGGTACACGTTCTGACACTGCCAAAGAGATTTCGTGTACCCACCAAACACCAATATAAGATGAGTTGCTTATCAGTGACAAATGTTGAATGATAGACAGTGGTGTCATTTAGTTTGCTATTTTCGCTTTTCTAGACCATTCTCAAAGTAATAGTACAATATTTGAAAATTAATTAAATGAATGATGTGATTAAAAACAGCAGAAAGAATAATATAAGCAACATTCCCATACTCCAGAGTCACAAATTTCTTATTAATGTATTCCATGAACTTCGTGGAATATAATATTTATAAATAAACAATTAATGTAAAAAATATAGAATAAAATTTAAAAATACATAATTTGGAGAAGAAAAAACAATTATTCATAGAAAGATGAACTCTTTTCAGGGTAATTTTGTTTCAAGATATTTACACTATATATATATATATATATATATATATATATATATATATATATATATATATATAATTGTAATACAGTTATTTTGACAAAAAACTACGCATAAACAAAGAAAATATGTGGGTAAGCACTGGATTCGAACCTGCTGCCTAGAGTTCTGGAAGAAAAGATTCTACCTCTGAGCGAAACGGATTCATTTCTTTTACAATTACTTGCATAAATATTATTGTGACAATTTCGGACAACGTTTAAAATGCCTCCAACATATTTAGACAGTTACAAATAATGTTGATACATGGCATGTCTTCTTTCAAACGGAATTAAAACACGAATTGCTGAAATACGTATATATTGCTTGCATACAGGGAGTCCCACTAACTATGGGGTACCCTCATAACTTCTAAACGGTTTACGATATCGATTTACAGTTTTCGCTCAACAATGCGGAATCATGGGGCAAGTGTCATGCTGTAGAGATATTGTTTGAAATATTTTTACTTTTTGACAAATTTAATCATCTTTGATTTTTAAAATGGAAGCATATATTTTTCTTACTAACAAACGATAGATTATAAAAAGAGGAATGCAATGGTGTAACATGTGTTAATATTTTGATAGTATTTGTGCATAAAATTATACTTTCTGGCCTGAGATCTTAAATTAAACGAGCAATTTTTCGCGGAGCTGCCGCCGCAACTGTCGCTTCTGGCGAACGTGACCTTCGCGGCCCCACTCCTCTCCGCGCATAAGGGCCGGCGCCGCGAAGGCAACCTTCCCCACACGAGACAGTTCAATGGTCGCTACAGAAAATCTCGTACTTTTAATTTACAATAACATGACGGAAAGAATAGTTTTTAGTCAAAATACGTCCAAAACATTAACATATGTTGCATCATTGCATTAGTCCATTTATCATCTGTTGCTAGTGAGATAAATACATGATTTCATTTAAAGAATTAAAGATTAAATTTGAAACTAAAAATATTTCGAACAATATCTCTACGGCACGTTACTTGCCCCATGATTCCACATTGTTGAGCAAAAACTCCATTTGATATCGGAAACTGTTTAGAAGTTATTGGGGTGGCCCGTAGTTGGTGGCTCTCCCTATATACACACAAAAACTGTTGAACAGATAACAAATAAAAAGAATAATGCAGTTTTATGCATCCCCGACAAAAAACATAGCGGTCTCTTTTAGTTTAAATTCTGAATATACTGTTGTCTCACAACGATTGGACTTATCCTGATGAATGGGTAATCGAACAACTGGGAAATGAATTAGAGTTGCTAGAATTCTTTCTTGATACGTGATTCCCTTCCCTAGGCATCTTCTCTTATGTCTCCCTGTTGATTTTTTTTATTTTACGAGCTCATTTTCATGGTCGGTTTTGGTGCTTTACGATGTAAAAATCATTTTATTTTTGTGAAAGTAAAAATAATAGAGCAATATTTTTATTTTTCTCTCGATTTACCTATGCATAGTGGGCTGTGTTTGGATCACTTTCTGAACACTGCAAAATCTGTCGACTGAATTTAGCCAGCGAGAGTGGCCAGGTATTTCTTTGGGACATATTTACTCTTTAGATAATGATTGATTTTTTTTAATTTCTTGTGTGGAGTGAGATTTCGTTGAATAGTGTAGGAGCGACTTGCAGGAACCGTCTTAACACTGCCGCGCGCCTTGTTAACACTGTTAGCACAAACAAAATATTGGCATTTTCGTTGAATTTTATTATCACCGACATTTCTACTTTTATCTCCTCAAATGTTGTATTGTTATTATTATTATTATTATTATTATTATTATTATTATTATTATTATTATTATTACTATTTGGTGATAGCAGGTCTCAAACATTTAGAAGAATATCTGACGATGCTTGACAATGTTATCTACGACACCTGCCACCGATTTGGGTGCAGAAAACATATTCTGATTGTTTCCTTTCGCAGTACTGACGAGAGAGACGAACGGATGCAGGCAATGCCAGAGCGTTATCTCCGAAAGCATCAAATGTCAATGTTACTGAAATTAATACAAAATTATTGTCCCAACATTGCGATAATCGGCAAATTGAGGGGTCTAGTTTCAAAACGCGACTTTTTCACCTTTGGAGAAAAATGAAATATTGGTTTGCATAGGGGTCCGTTGGTGTTATTCGTCGTTTTAAAATCATTTGTAACCAAACGCGTTTTTTGTTTACTACAGAGAGCTTCATAATAATATGTTAATATCAGAACGCGATCTTTTCATAATCTTCATTTCGTTGCAAATACCGCCGACCTTCCCAATCCAGTGTCACTATGTTTTGGGGCCGTATTATATCAAAACGAAAATGTATAATTCTATAGAACTCAAGTATTGAAATCAAAAGAAATATTTAATACTCGTGTAAAAATATTGAATGAAAACAAGTTTTTCACGAAAAAATACGTTTTTGGTAAAAACCAAAAATGCAAAAAAATATTTAAATTAAGTTTCAAACGACTTTTCCAAAGTTTTAGCTGAACTTTCTTCAAAATGACTAGATATTCTTGAATTACATTATAGTATTATTTTTACTGTCACTATCTAAGGGCATTAATCAGAAAGATTGAGTAGCTGAATGTTTTAAACAAAAGAGATGACACTTTCTTATTTTTCTCAAAACAGAGCAACTATTTATCCCTCAATGGACGCTAAAATATCTATCCACTCTCCCTTAAAATAAATTTAATCTTCATAGTTCGATTTTGTAATGTGGTGAATGCGATGGCAGTGTAGAATGGATAAAAAATAAAAATGTCTACGCAGCCTGAAAATCGAACCAGCTGCTTCCCGAGTTCTGGAATATTTTGACGCTGAGCCATTCTTTCGCTTGTCTAACACTCTTCTTGTAACAACACATTTTATATTAACGGAACTTGAAAGCAACATTACGTTTACAAAAATTAATGTTAATTTAGTTCCATGAATAGGAAACACGGAAGACTTAATTCCACTGTACTACTACTATTTATTCCTCAATGGACGTTAAAATATCTATCTGCTCTCCCTTAAAATAAATTTAATCTTCATAGTTCGATCTAGAGAACGTAGTTATGAAAATGAACGTTAGATAGCGCTGTCGGCGAGCAGGGCTGTCCATCGCCATCAACCTTTTGAGCCAAGGAATTTTCGACGCGACGTTTCCACGAGTGTACGTCAGTGCTATGTACCTAGGGACACATTGTACACAAATTTTCTCAAAAGAACCTTATAGAATGTTCTTGAAAACATATATTATTATTATTATTATTATTATTATTATTATTATTATTATTATTATTATTATTATTATTACACATAAATATATTTAGATGTGTAGCATTTCAAAACGATTTACATAAACAATTTCACATCCAAAACAAGAAAGAAAAAAATTAAAACGTGGAAATTGTCCCTAGGTAAGAAGGTTTCCCCTACAGTCTGAATATCTAGTGTCACACTAGGAAATTAAGGTTAGATTCCTAATATCAGTTATTAGAATATAAGTATTCCAATAATCTATGGCTTCTAATTAACAGCATCAGTCCCAAGCTGAAAAGGCAAATGTCAGATATTTAAACAAAACTTCAGAATTTTTACAAGGTGAATAAAATGTGGCTCGATATTCCCGTGGTAATATTTTATTATCGAATTTTTTTTTATTCTTATTTCGTAACTAACTTTTTTCGAAGTCGATTATCCCATTTGCACCATTTGGGCCATAATGCAGAAAAACCGCACTGCACATCCTGTGCCAGCCACGAGGAACGAACATGATTCTTGAGATTGTCCTTTGTGCGTTTAAATAGATGCCGGATACAATGTACTACAGCAAGTGGTACGCGTTCCTTATCCTGCCGAGAAGGAAGGTTTTCCTTCTCGGTCTGAGTCTTACGAAACCGTAATCCAGCGCTGAGGGATAAGCATGGGGGCCCAGGAAATGGGGCGGTATCATTAGATAACACGCGGTTTTACCCCGGTTGGTGTTTGATTCAACACGACGTGCGTCATAGTTAAGGCTATTGATGAACAATTTTATATGTAAGGTTGAAAGGATTGTGAATACGCAGTATTCCTTATGTTTTATTCATACTGCTTTACTTTCAAGAATAACAAAAGTGTAATTTTTGTCAATAAATCACATTTTCACTGAAATATTTAAAAAGTTACTTAACAAACCACTCGTTCAAGAACATGTATTGGGTGTCATAAGTAAATTGTGAATGACTTATATTCATGTTAAGACAATTTTGGTTCCGTTTATAATATTTTTTCTTCGTATCCGAAGTTAGTTATGATGAATTTGAGCTACCAGAATGCTACATGGATCCAGGTACATTTTTTTGGATTCCTACGCGGAGTTTAAATTGTAGAGAAGATGATGTACGTGAAGAAATGAAATCTTTCATTAAAGAAGCGCCGCACTCTACAAGTAAAACTGTTTTTATTCCACTGTTTAAATGTTTTATTATACATATTCTGTCTTGAGTTGCCCTCTGAATTGATTGACTATAATCTTAAGATACTACCTATAGTTTAGAATGTTTCATTCTCTCACATCCTTTCTCGAGTACAGGCTCTCCTCACGAAGCCTCCCTCAGATATTTTTAGAAGAAAATTTAGGAAAACCTGGGTATGTTATTTGTTGCTATAATTTTGTTTAAAAACTGCTAATTTCCCGCAGTTATCTTTGTCAGAAGATTCTAAGATAACTATAGGCAATACGTCGTAAATATGTAACTTTGTTTGAAAAAAAGATAATTATTGAATAATTATTTATTTTCATCTCAGTTACTAACGTATTCCCCTCAACCATTTTTTGTTAATAATTTTTAGAAAAATGGAATTTTGATATATATATATATATATATATATATATATATATATATATATATATATATATATAGAGAGAGAGAGAGAGAGAGAGAGAGAGAGAGAGAGAGAGACAAAATATAGACGGACGTTTTGAAAACAACACTTTTTCGGTATCAGGGGACCCTAAAACGTGTATTTCCGTTGAAAACTTGACATTGATTCTTCGCAGCATTACACAACTTTCCCTATACTACGTATAATATTCCATGTATACGTAGTACGTATACGTGAAAGAAAAAAGTAATAATAAGTTTAAATACGTAACAAGAGTGCGAATCACCTCGCGCACGCCTCGTTATGTTTCGCGTAATCCTAGATAGAAAGAAAAACCCTTTCTCGCGCGTCATACTAAAAAAATATTTTCAATAATAATGTTCTGTTCTTGTCAACTTAACGCAACCATATAGGAATAAAGGAATGAGAAACCAATCTAAATGAATCTTCCCTTTAATCTCTTAATATTGTTTTGTACGGTCTACAATATCGTTTGATTTCAGAAGTAGTAATGGAGTCTCCTTGGAATCTCGCAAAAAAGATTATGGAGCTTAGTCCGAATCAACTTCGAAACCCGATTTACCACTTTAAATTGCACCAAGTGTTAAAAAGTATACTTTCAGAATAATTTTAAAAGAATAATATGGAACATATTGCAAGTAAAATGTTGAAATACGCAAAAATATGTGTTTTCCTGAAAGAGGTAAAAATAGGCACTGCGACGGGAGATGTGGACAAATATGGAAAATCAAAAATATTTCAAATTTCTTCAAAAAATCTAAATCGTATGAAAAAACGTATAACAAAATCGTATAACAAAAGTTTGTTCGTAACTTATAAAAAAACAAATACGTAATTGCATACAAATCCTTACCTTATTCATTAAATTACATTCAACCATTAACGCAAGAAATAAAGACCAAAATTGATTTTGTTTTCAGATGGCAGGTCTTACCTATTTCCTGATTCTTCTTTTTCTCCTCATCTGCCCAGGCAAAGGTAAGGGAAGATGATTATTCAGTAATTTTTGCAAAGCAGGCTGTGAAAAAGAGAGCAATGGAAAAGAGTTCTGAAGGAATACACCTATCTGGCAGGGGAAGTTTGTCGAAGGAGAGGAAGGGAAGTCCTCTGAAAAGAGATTAGATTAGATTGCATATTGATGCTCTGATGATTGTTTGAATTTGTCTTTGGAGAACCTGGAAACTTTGCAAAGATTGAAAGGGACCTCTGCTCAAAATAAATGCAGAGCTGCTGAATGTCACTAATTTTCTCAGAGATTTTCTGATGCAAATAGAAAGTTCTCTACAATCCTGAACATACATTTGGGGTAAACCAAATATCTGTGATTGCCTTGCCTTTTATTCCGTATTTTTCGCAGACCAACTATGGCACTTTGGGGCTTTTTCCACGGGTACACGTGTAAATTACCGTCGGAACAATTGGTTTATAAATCAAACGGTTCGTGTACATTCCACACGTTCGAGAAGTTCTGTTTATTAGTGGATACAGCTCTTGACTTTAATTTCTGTTGCAGACTATATTGAAGGGAACGTCTACGTCACAGGGTTCTTGGTGCTGGGCATCATCTACCTCCCAATGGGTCTAACGCTCATATACTCTGCTCAGAAGGTAAGCACCAGGAAAGTGTTGAAGCCTGTATTTCAAAGCGTAATTGCGCACTGCAAAAAATATGTTGTGTATTCAGCAGAGATTAGTTATATCATAGAGACAATATTGATATATTTCCTCTATACTCTATAATTTATGCACCTATTTGCATTTTTGAAAATATAATTATAAACAATTTCCGTTTTCAAGTCGCTTTGCCTCCATAACTGGTTCATTTATATAATAGATGTTTCTTGCTCATGTCTAAACCAAATCGAATTATAAGGTGAGAATCGGCTGCATTCATTTTTAATTAGGAAATTTTGGAAGGAAATTTGATAGGAAATCTATCATAACAATGTGACATATCGGCCAGCACGCTCCTAATTGGTAGGCTGCTAATCATGCTCTGGTGTTTGGCAGGTACCAGCACTCTCAGGAGACGCTCTTCTCATTGGCAACGACAACATTAATATTTTTACTTCTTTGTTCGGCTTTCACTGCATCAGAACATGATTTTAGAACCACAGAAATCGTTTAAATTTAAAATTTATGTAAATAAACTAAAATCCTCTATTATACACTCTTACGACACAAAATCCAGTCAAAAGAATAAATAACAAACAATAAATAATACAATTAAAACAAATAGGTGTTGTCATTAGAGTTAAAGTTAACAAAATATAAATAAATACGTAATTTTAAAAATACTGTTTCCCGTCCAACTCTGAAAAGCGTGATCTGCTGAACAAGAAAGATAAAAATAATTTTTAAAAAAAGAATAGCCGTTACAATGGCCAATACATCGAGCGTCATGGCCGTCACTTCCACATTTTTTGTTATTAAAACTACACAAATACGACAAAAACTTAATACCGTTATGGCCAGTGGGCTTGCTTCCTGAGAGATCATGTACCTTGCAATACTCAGTGCAGTATTATTCTGCCAAACCGGGGTCGACACTCAAGTAAATTTGTTATGTGAGATTTCCAATCACAAGATAAGTAGCAAAAAATGTATTATCTCTGACCTCTCTAGAAGTCTGTAATATTCAGAACCACCCTGCATAATCTTAGATCTGTGGAGGGAAAATAAAGCCCGAACCTCCTTCTTTTCTTAATATATAGTAGTTCCGAATGATTAAAATGTCGTATACTTCCATGTAGTTTTCTGTCAAGTACCTATTTACCGATACTTTCCTCTAATGATAAAATGTTGGCGCGATATTTTATAGAATGTTATCGAAGTGAAGTAGACTAAGACAATAAAACTAAATTACTGTACTTACTAATGAACTGATGCATGTGCTAAGTGCAGCACGCATGTTTGAAAGAAACATTTCCAGCAAAAAGTAACATGTACTACTTGCTTTTCAGCGGAGGGGATTGATTAGAGAACAATGTAACATATTGAGATTTGAAATATAGTTTTACAATGATTTTATAACGTTCATAAACCAGAAATAATTTAAAACTAGACCAGAGCACATATTACTTATTTTAATAATATATTTCCATTTCTCTAACTTTTAAAGTCATGGATTGAAGCACAGAAAATTCAAGCAACCCAAAACCCAAGAATTATTCACCCTGCATTCGTCTTTTTTACCATCACGTCGATTGATTAGTGCTTTAAAGCGCGTTAACTGCCAAGGTCATTACAAGAGCCCGGAAGTATTTATTTTACCTAAAATAGACAGGCATAAAGGCATTTATTCTGGGTAAAGTAGGAGTAAAAACACAACAAACGTTGCAAAATCACCATTTAAAAAAAATATTATAAACAAATTAATAATGAAAATTATTTACATGTTTATTCTTACTCTAAAATTTGCATTAGCACTTTCCTGTAAGGAAACTTCATTTTCTTTGTAATCCTGATGGCATGTGGCCATCCGGTAGGACGACTACAAATTTCTTTTACTCGCGACGCTGTCTCTATGAAATGCTACTGTGGACTTCCTTTTGAATCTTGAAATGGAATAAATGAAAACGGAATTACAGATTTCGTTTTTCATACTTGTGTAATCGTCAGAAGGGAAGAGTGAAAAAGAAGAAACTCAGGAGTGTATATCCTGTACAGACAGCTGTATCTTCAAAAGGGATCAGAGTCCATAGACGGAGATTTCTCGTGAGCGAATAAGTCTGCCAGCATCAACGAAAAATATCAAAACTCATCACAGGTATCATCTTCCTTTCCCTTTTAGATTTTTAACACAACCTGACACTGGAGCCTCAACGTTCAAAGACAATACAAGACCGTGCCTCCACGTGGACTAGGCTTGCAGGTATGATTTCAGTTCGATAGAGATCGGTGCCAGGAGGAGGAAATAATGACGAAAAATGCACGAAGTGGCAAATAAAGAAGAAAAAGTAAAAGGCACAAATAAGGTAAAATGCCAAAAATAATCATCAGAAGTTATAATAGGCAAAAACAGGTAAAATAAATCTACTAAAACAACTCCAGAAGTACAATCGATTCCTATTGTTAAAAATGTTGTTTTTATGATAAAACCGTAAAAATAATAAAAAGGGATTTTGTCAAACGTCCGGGCTCTAGTCGTATGCATAGTGCCTGCCTTTATCACGGAAGGTGGCAGTGATCTTCCAGCGCTGGATGACGAGATCCGGCGCCGGCCTACATGCCGCCTTGAAGGGTTTTTCCCATTCAGGTATCTTCCAAAAGCAGGGCACCGCCACAGCCCGGACAAACTCTAAGCCCCCGACCGGTCTCCCGGCATGTGTGGTAGTATGGTTCATGTAAGTAAGAGATGAGAATAGGACAAGGAAAAGGAAAGAAATATTGTAGGTGTTCCGGGGCCTGTGTTTTAGGGTATTACTCCAGTTTTCACGTGGTATTGATCGGAGAAACGACGTAAAACCACCGATCAGAGCAGCCAGCCTGGCCGCTCCTCCTAGAATTCTCCTCCACACAGTGGCTGCACTCGATCTAGCTATACATGTCGAATATCTTGCCACCGTCGGAACTCCAACCCTAGGACTTCCCGGTCAGAAGCACTAGTGACATCGATAGATGCCGTGAGCCGCCCAGCCGGTGTCACGTTGGGTGCCCTGCGAGAGGTGGGCGTCGGGCTAACAGCTCCGCAGCGTCGCGGCGAAGAGAGGCAGACATTTTTAAAACCACGTGGCCAAGGGGAAAAGACTCTCGATGCCCTTGCTGGCAGATGGTGGAGTTACGGGTTAGCGTTGCTAGCTCCCTCCCGCGGTATGCGGAGGCCGGGGTGGGAAGTAAAGAAGCGGCGGGTTTTCAAAGCGAAGTCGCGTACGCACGGCGAGACTGAAATTCCTCGGAGACCTCGCGCGAGGCGCACAGCATACGCCGACGCCGGTGCGGATTGTTCTCGCACGAGTGACAGTCACGTGGGTGACGCGTGAACATGTGAGGCGGAGCGAAAATTGGTACATGTAAGGAACTGTATATACTAGAGTACGTGTCTGTCTCTCTCAATCGCGACATAACACCTGCATGCATAGATTTTACGTTGGTATTTCTAGAGGTAACTTTGAAACAATTCTTACCAGTTGAGGTGGCTCAGAACTGATGTCACTGCAGTAACTTTGGCTGGGAAGTCCTATATTTCGAGTCCAGATGGCGGTAAGGCTTTGGACACTAGCTGGACAGGTATGTCGAGTTCAGCCGCTGTCTGGAGAAAAATTCTAACAAACGGCTGCTCTGATCGGTAGTTTTCCGCAGTTTCTCCAGTCAATAACAGATGAATGCCGGATCTTTCCTTCCTCTTCCTTGTCCTAACATATCCCCTTACTAAAACACAACTTTCATGTTGGGAGCTTAGAGCTTGTTCTGGCTGGTGCGGTGCCCCGCTGGTCGGAGATGATAGGGCGTTAAGGTCGGCGCCGGATCTCGCCATCCAGCAAGGAGGAACACCTCGCGTCTACGGCAGTTGAAAACGGAAATAGCGGAAACGTGAAATAACTGATCATTGAAACAGTTTCGATGATTGATTTCCGTTTCACACTGACCGGATCATGTTGCAGAGGAACCCGCACGTGCTGCTGCCGTGGATCGTGCTCAACTTCTTCTTCGCGCTGTGCGAGTTCCTGGGCGTGATCCTGGCGCCCGCCTACGCCGCCAAGGACGACGCGCTGTGCGGCAAGACGCGTGTCGCCCTCGCCGTCTTCGTGCTGCAGGTCATCATCGTAGGTGAGCCTCGCCCCTTCGACGCGACTTTTCAACTTTTACCGCTTTCAACGACGCTCCGTGCACTGGGGCATAAGAGCTCCTTGCGAGCTAAGGCCTACCAGCGAAGTCCCGGCCTTGCGACCATGGGTTAAGGGATAGACATCCCAACGCCGTATTCTACGCTTCTCAATCTGAGAAGTGGGCTTTCACACAGTAACAGATACTTCGACCGGGAATCGAACCCGAGGTCGCATCATGGAAAGCGAGCCCGCTGACAATTGAGCTTCCCGTGGGGGAAATGCCGTTAGTTACCATAATATCCTGTCATTTATTTAATGTCAAAAATCAATTTAAAACTTACATGGCGTATTACGGGGTAGTGAAGCAACATCAATATCAAAACATTGTCACCAAACATCGATGTTAATATTGGGGAATTTGTGCACCCTCGAACGTTAAAACAATCAAATGCACTATAGATCATCTACGAATGCTCAGTTCGCATTTTGCACCACTTTTGTGCATCTGCTCATGCTCAAAAGATGGAGATTGCAGTCGAGCGCTGTCCGCTATAGCGTGCACAAACATACATCGACCAAAAATCATAAATCGATCTTTTTAAACACTAATGTTTTCATAACTGGTTTAGTAGCCTCTAAAATTAAATTCGTGGGCAACAAAATTTATTTTGATAGTGGTCGTGTTTATCAATTTATAATTAAGATAAACTGAGAACGTTAAAATATGATAACAATGGTCTACATTGTTGATAATAATTTTCAATATATAAACAATTGAATGTTGTTGGTTTTGTAGAAGCAATGAGTAGTACCTGAATAAAATATGTTAGTGATGTTACGTAGATGTACGTACGATGTTACTTGACATAAAAGTAATTTCGCTGAACTCTTTTATTTTTAAATACATTTTTTTATATCTCTCGCGTCGTTAATATTTACATTTGTGAGTACAAGTGCTTCAAATTTTAGTTGTGTAATATGACGGTGGTTTCTTTGCAGGGTGTCGGTGCTATTGCATAGCCATCGTGACGCAGTTCCGGCACAAGATGCTGGCGGTGGAGGCGGCGGCGAGGATGTCGGAGCCCGGCCGCACATACGTCTTCTGAGTCACGCGCAACCACGGCGAAAGCCATGTTGAAACGACATGGGTGAACTGGACCGGTGCACAGACTTTTGCTTGTTCTTCACATTCACCAGTTTGCGTCGCGAACCACGTGACAAGGGCACTATGGCAAAAACCACGCCAGAAGCTGGCCGCCATGCTGCATAGCAAAGGAAAGAAATCTTTGAGACATCTTTTCAGAGGCGTAAAGTGACAATTTTCAACGGAAAACAACCAAAAATAACATGACGGTGTAGTTGGAATAAAAGATGCAACCTTTAAACAAATGTTCCATATATCTGGTTCAATGACTTGGAACAACTGTGACAATTTTGGCATCTGGCTGCATTTAAATTTCCCACTAATATTGTGACGCACACTGGCACCTGAAGCTCATCGGTTGAAGGCCGATACGCGGTACAATAGCTCACCCATGTCTTTTCATCATGTGTTGGAAGCAGCTCGGCGACCCTTGAGAGGGTCCGGCGCGGGCGAGCCGGGCGTGTACACGCCCTCTCGCCGAAACAAAGCAAAAAAAGATTAGTGGAAGTCAAATGAAAGTTGGTTTCCGCGGCCGAAGGTGGTATCTTCTTGAAGTTTTGGGCGTCATGCTGCGTCTTTCAGCCATGACTATTTCGCCCTGAGGAAGGTCGCAGAATGACGGCCGAAACGTTGGTATCTGTACCTGGGCGTCTCCCGTACATCCAAGTCGATACAAGTGGAAGTATACTACACCATGGCACTAATATGAAAGGGACATTTGTTTGCCTAATTATAATACCTAGTTTAATCTTAATTGATTTTATAAATAAACTGACAGAACCCCACTGTACCGGGAGAGAACAGAGTTCTTGATTCGTAGTATCAACTCAAAATTCTGATCATACCTCTTTATGCTCTTCTTCCGTTCTTTTTTAATAACCATCCTTTCCTTCTCTTTCTACTTTTTCTCCTCTCATCACTCCATCCTCCTATGATCACAAGGACCGCTGCAACACGAATGCGTCTAACGCATTAACGCCAAGCGGGTGGCCTAACAAGACAATTGACAGGCGTCGGCGTTTCGTGATACGGAATATGAATCCGAAGTTGACTTTCAGTAGCATTCTTATTATCTATATTAGGTTTAAAACCTCACAGGTTTTATTTTAGAAAGATAGTTGAGTTTTCTACTCTCCCAAATTTCGTGATTTTGCCTTTAAATGAAAGGTAAGTAGACCCTACATAGGCTTTAAATTTCTCTTATAAACCGATTTTATTTTCTAAACACTAAATTTTAATAATTTATTGAAATTAATTGAATTTACGCTTAACTGCCATCATTTGGCGTTATGTTGCGTTCAAAAATCACCTACACTGTGTAATTGGAAGGTACAACTAGTTGTTCTTGGTAGTTTTGTCATGCGAGTTGCATTTGATCAAAAGCAATCAATGTTTTGTAAGATAACACTTAGCAAAGCCTTATGAATTTGAAGATTCAGTGATTATTAAATACGATTAGTGAGAGTGCAAAAGTGAAATGTCCTGCAATTAATTGGCAAATGTGCCCCATAACAAAGAATTTCAGTGCTTACAATTACGTTATGCATTTCGCTTTTAAGTTAAGGTGAGTAAGCAAATTTGTAAAATTTACAATAAATTTTATTTTTTATTTAAATCCATCGTTTTTTGGTGAATCATGTAATTTAAATCAATTATATAAATCACTTGATTTAAATCATCAAAACTGTTTTTTAAGCACACTCAACTAGTTAACAAAAATTGGGCGTGAACAGCAGAATCAAAATGTAATGGTAGCACTTTGGCTCTCATCACTAAAAGACAAGATCGCCCAAGATTTACTGTAGGCCTACATTCCATTGCACATTAACGATACTTCCTCTACACTATTTATCTGAGAAAGTTTACATCTTCTGACCTGAATGAACATAATAAGTATTATGATCATGAGATTCTACTTCTTCTCTCTGTGATTAGAAAACTACTTTCATTAGTTTCCAAAATATCAAAAAACAATTACTGACTTACAAATAATCTCTTCAATAATAAGGAATCAATAAATATAATAATATTGAAGCTGAAATTAAAAATATGCTAAAGCATACATGAATAAAATTTTATTTTGTTGATGTGTTAGTTTGATTTTCCTACTAATAACGCACTTTTTAGTAAGAGATGCAGTTGATACATATTCTAACGTTCTGAAGTACTTAACTGTTCTCTGAAACTAAAACTTACCATTCTACAGAATTATACTTTCCTTTAAGAAAAATAAGGGTTTTCTGATGGATATCAATCATTACGAAGCGTATTTTGTAAAAGCAATCCACAAAAAGATGCCTTTAAAATGTAGTAAAGGCAATAGGAACAAGTTCTGCTTGTAACATGGGCTAGGAAAATAAGAAAACTTTACTTTTTTCAATCTTTTACTTAATAATGCACTAAATTATTTACCCTTTTTTTGCCAGGCAATACAAAGTGAACACAAGGCTGAATTTCATTTTTCCGTACCATCATCAGTAATAAATTGAATTTGGAATCCATTGGGAATTATACCCATGGCTATAACGAGCTGACGAATGAGAAACTTGAGGCCTTCCAATTTGTCAGATAATTTGACAACTATTTCTAGAAGGCATTTCAAATTTGTAGCAATTTTATTATAGACATGCTTATTCTTATCGATTTCATTAATTTATACAGGCACATCCACAAAAGGCAACAAATGCACTATAGCCGTATTTGCGGAGCTAACATGGTTGTATTAAATTTTTTAAAGTACAATGATGCTAATCAATTCAAACAGTACAATTTAGCCCTTGACCGGACTTATTCAAATGCAACGCTAAACTATTGTATTCCTTTACTTCTCGATTTGTTCTATGTACTTTATTTACAGTTCTCAGTAAAGTTTCAATGGAACAACACTCTTTCATAGTGGGAGTTTTTAATTCACTCAGTAAAATTGACTCAATTTAATAGATGAAGTTGTGGGTAATGGTTGACACATACATGAACTAATAAAACATGATACTGGAACAAGACAATTGAAGTAATAGAAAGATAACATAGTAATTTAATGTCTTTCACATTTATTTCATTAATTAACTTTAAAATGACATAATTATTGTAATGATAACTTATAAGTTACCATGACTTTTGAAATTCAGCTAATCAGTCTACCGATTTCAATGAAATCAAAAAAATCTTTGAAAACGTGGTTGGTAAAAACTGCATTGTATCACTTGATAAAAGCAATAAAAAGGCCAATTTTATTTGTATAAGTCTATTTATTTACAATTCTTCGTAAAGTTTCAAAAGAAAAAGTGCAGAAATGAATTTATATTTTTATCCAATACTGTAAGAGACTGCTGGCCCCCAATGGGATGCCGTTGGCAGAAGTTACTTCTCAAAGACAACTGCATTCTTAGAGAAAAGGAATCACAAAATTTTCTGTTCAGAATAAATACTCTAGAATTAGGATTGCAATTGTAAATGTGTTTTCCGAAGTGTCTGGAAAAGCCTTGTTACATGAGCTTTAAAGGACTTCTTCCAATGATTAAATGCAATATTACAAATAAAACCAGTAAGAAGACAGAAGCTGATTTGATTCTTTGTGATAACTATGTGGCTAAAGAAGGATATAATTTAATTGCAATATTATATATTACTGATACATGTGCAAGACATGCAATAGCAACATCTTGCAATCTCTGGTATAAAAAAATCAACAGCGAATTGAAAAGGTTGTATTCCACCTGCTGTATAAGATAAATAAGCACAACAAAAAAACACCATTAAGTCTCATTAATGCATTGTTTGTTTGTTTTTACATTGTGGCATAATGTTGAATGATAAACAGACAACAGTTACATATTATTTATTTCATAGAGTGCCAGCTTTCTTGAAAATATTCTTTTCCATGTACATCACAACTCAAGACATACCCGAATAAACATTACAATACAGTGAATAGAGAAAGAATAACTTTCCCATACTCAGTTTTGGAGTATGGGAAGAGCTGAGGAGAATTAGCAAATTTGTTATGACATTCTTGATGAAATCATTAATTTTGGACAAGTGTAAATGAATTGAATTCATGCAGAAGTTTGTCATAAGCCGTCATCATTACTTATTAAGGGTTATTTCATGTTTAATTTCATGAACTACATTTTTCCTTTCTGCAGTTCATATGTAATGCACAAATCAACCAAATGAGAGGAGAAAAAATCTATCTTGTCTACAAATTATCATCCTAGAAGTGACACATTACAAAGAGTAAATGACATTTTCAATGATTAGTAAGCCACACAAATTCAAAATCAGTTGAATGTGCTTTTAATGTGTTGAGTAAATACGGATCCAGAAATTTGGTGCTTGCATGAACTTATTATCATCCACACAAATCTCATGACAGTCTTTCACATATTTCGAGCATGTCAGAGCCTCAATGGGCAGAAGGCAAAGATGAGAATATTTGCAAGATAACTGGCACTAGGAGTACAAAAGCAATGCAGAACAAAGGGGTCGTAAGAGGAGCATCACATCGTGGGACCACCGCCCACTGCATGTGGCCACACGTTACATAGGTGTATTGTACAGCTATCTAAGGGAACACACTGCAACAGAATAGCACACTAGTAGTCTTCACGACCATCGAAATACAAGAATAAACAGAGCTACTGAGACATGGCTATATGTCTGTTTGCACGCACCATACAAAAACACTTTTGTCATTTGTGCATAGACGCCAAGAAGAAAACGCCGTGGCAGGTATGGACCATCTTCACGTAAGTCGGACAGTCGGTGAAGCAATCACTGACCTTGCTGCATCATACTTCTCATTAATACACAACGAGAAGTCCACAAACAAGAAAAATCTTACAAAGACAGCAAATTTAACAGCCAATAGTTCCTTTCTTGTCAAATTGAAGTAAATAAAATGAATAAAGGTAACATAAATGTTCGCATGAAATTGATATTTTCATTTTTTCTTTGTAACAGCTTTTACACAACGCAAATACTTGAAATTTACGTGCAAGAATGAATACAAGAGTTTTGATTTTTAAACTAAATAGACAAAGTACCTTTGTATTTCATTTTAAAAATTTCGCTGTGTCTCCTCTTGTACAAACTTTGCAGATGTACACCATTTTGAACACATCTGCTTATATTAAGGAACTTCTGTTACACTTGTGAAAGTTATAAAACAATACTTAATCTCATTTTGAAATAAAATTAATCAATTACAGTTTTATTGATTTCCCTTAATAGCTCAACAAGAAATGGATAAATGAGAAGAGAGTAAAATAATTCACAACTGTGCAATGCTGTATACACAAAGGTCAATATTAAAACCTTCGAAGAGTTACCATTCACACCAATGCTCAGTACATAATACTTAATAAAGTAAAATAAACATATATTGGCAATACAACAAATTGCATTCAATGAAACTTGATTCGTTCTGCCTTTTGTAACCAATACACAAAACTATTTTTCTATTAGTTCGGCGGATTCAGATTTAAGCATGATATTCAAGCAAATTTAAGAAAATGAAATTTAAAAACAATTTAGATAACTGCACTTTAAAGTAATTTGTGTAAGATTACAATAAATATATTCTGGTAACTGAGGTTAGAATCAATTTGTCGAATATTCATTACAACTTCGAAGAAATTAAAGTTCATTCTTTTATTACAATTTTCCACTGTATTTATATCGAATTTCTCTCATAGCAGCACATAAAATGTAAAACAGAGCCAAAATTAATGAAATTTTATATAAAAATTAAGTATGTAATAAATATAAATTTCAAAATACAAGCACCATTGAAATAATCAAACCACTTAAAGACAGGTTATTAACATTATACAGCACCATTATAAAACTGCAGCAATTTTCTAACCCATGGGGACAAATGGGGTTTCTCAATGAATCTAATGAGATTAATGAAAATAAATGACTGGAAAGAGGAAACAGAGTATATTGTCAGGACAAAAACACAAACTTGAACTCCCTCCTCCGACAACCTCCGGATAATATTAAGCAGACCCCCACTCATCTCTTACGCTATTCACATACTGTACAGTATCTCCAAGATACGTTCAATATCTGAAAAGTATCTGCCTCATCCGGAAAGGCTTTCCTGACTCCCAACCATCCCTGACAATATCCCAATAGAAGCCACTGTATTGGGTATCGAGAGAAACATTTCATGATAAGAGACGTCATCCAAAAAAAATGAGAATAAAGAATTGAAAAATTAATTCAACAGATACTCTGTATTATCTTATATCTAACTATAATTAATCACCAGTACATAAGAACATAGACATTGTACAAATGAATATGAAGAAATCTGATACAAATTTAAAATAGTAACTTTGTAATAAAAGATTGCATATTTCAGTGGTTTTTGTAAATCAAAAACAAAGTCAGAAAAGAATCAAGTTTTAGTTGCTGTTAATTCTTGCCAAAATGAACTGAACCAACCCAAACCATTTCACACAATGTATAATGTCACTTAACCTACAAGTGTCTCTTGATCTTGGACTGGTTCAGTTCTGTTGATACATTTATCATTTTTTTGCTTGAAAAAAAGTTAGCTCAAGCATTACAGTTCACCACAATCTGTGGAATGTCATGGAATGTAATTTAGCAACCAAATGAGAAACCAGTCTGATATAAACATTATGTCATATCATGTCAGCACCATTGTAAATCATATAATATTTTGTCATTGCAGTCAAATAATCTAAGTTGAAAAATTATTTAAATGATCCAGATTTTACATAACATGTTTGACAGTTCCGCAAGCATCAATAATTATATGCTCTGAAGACTGTAAACAAGAATGTCAAAACAAAAAATAAATATGGTTTCATTTCCATTAGATCTTGCATATTTGACACGCATATATCTCCACAGATATTGTTTGACATTCATTAACAAATAAATTAATTCCATTTTCCTTTCTTTCACTATAATTCTTGAATACCACAGTGTATGCAAATGGTACACAAGAAAGTAATCTATAATGATTAAATAATACTGTGATCGCTATGTTAAAGAACACAACACAACCTGAAAGAAAATGACTGATGCCACCTCATAAAATCCTATATGCTCGCAGCAGCAGGATTGCTTTGGATGTTGCTAGGAGGCAGGAAAAGTGCTCTTGACTCAGCCCCTGCATGCAAGCAGACGGCGCAGCCAATCGGTGAGAACAGAACACAAAACAGAACTGTCTGCAGCTACTATGACAGAATAGTGATCTGGGTATTATATGCATATATAACAAGAAGCACACCCTCTCTTAGGGCGAGGTCTCCAGGACATTACGAGGGCACAGGCCGGAGCTGGTCGGAGCTGGCAGTGCGGCTACGAAGAGCTGCCATACCACTGGCTGCCCTCTGAAACACGCATCACAATTGTTTTTCTGTTATTTTGTTGTAATTTGTTTGTTTCTCTTTTTCATTATTTATTTATTTGGACATGGTGTATCAAATTTGGCATATATTGCAATATTATTATTATTATTATTGTTATTATTATTATTATTATTATTATTATTATTATTATTATTATTATTATTATTATTATATTTATTGAGACACATATACAATTACAATTGTGTATGACGAGTCAATATGATGTCTTGGGTGGAGAGAGCAAAGTTACATTACAGATCAGGAGCGAAACAAGGGGGCCATCTCAGCATTTGCTCAAGGGACCAGGGAAACTGAACGAAAAACCTGATTGAGATGGGGTCATTGGCCTAGGAGTTTTACTACAATACTTTCTGCAGATAGATTAGGATATTACACAGTAGAGCAGATATTATACAGCTTTCAGTAGCAAATAATTTAACATTTCAAGATTTGTACAGTTTCATGTTTAAAGTGAAAGTAAAATTACTGATTATAGTCTTTTTACTGCTGCTACTTATTTTTATTATTATTATTAATTATTATTATTATTATTATTATTATTATTATTATTATTATTATTATTATTATTATAGTAATAATAATAAAACAGTATGTGGTATCAATTATGGTACCCATAAAATATAGATATTTTATTTACATAGCCATTATTTTACTTTATTTTAGATTTTTTCAAATTTTATTTTATTTATTTCATATTTGAGAAAAGAAAATGTTAAGATATGCAATGACCACAACATACCTGGTCAATGTTTTGGTTACTAAGAACGGACAGGGAGCTTGCGCGTCTCATGCTGAAACAAGCCAGACAAAACATGTGATATACAGAAAATATATATCATTGCATGTAACAAGACATGCAACTGAAATCACCATCAACTATTTCGTTCTGTCCTTACACTTGACAGCATATTTCACCTAGAAAAAAGAATGACACATTGCATTTAATTAAAATTGAATATCCTGATACGTCAGTAAAGGTGTGCCATGAGAAGTTGAAGCTTCTTCACACATTAAAGACATTACACCCAATGTCAAGTACTCCAACCGCAAAAACAGATATTGTGGGGAATTCATATAAGATAAAAACAAGAGAAAATTACTCCTGACTGCAACAACACAAAAGCTGAAAATAATTTGCAAATATTGTCATGTTTTGCAAAGATGAACGATTATTTCTAAATGACTAAAATGGGCAACAAAGAGCCATAAAAACCACAATTCCAATTGAAGTGTAAACCAAAAAGAAATTATCTAGTGAAACCTATGACATGTGCAAACTTGTGTATCTATGAAGATTATTATACCACAAGACAACAGATATCTCAACTGATCCTTTTTCTTCAAAAACAAATAGCTACCAACAGGAATCACAATTATTCACAAGGCTTCAAAATGCTTACAACACATCTTTCCGAATTTAAACTTCTCATGGCATATCTTTGAAACCATACTACACTTTCATACATTGCCTCTCATTGCATGCCCATACCCCTCTAAGTTGATACTCACCTGATACGATGAGAACGACATTAGGCCTGAGATCTAAGAATAAGTATTCAGCGGGTAAACAAATCCTACAAGACTACTGCTTTCACTTTATAAAAGAAGCGAGCGGAGGACCCATTACCGCCTTTCTTAGCAAAAACTATTTTTCGATAATGCACTGGAAATGTAACAAAACCAAAAACTTCTAGTATATGGAAAAAAAATTAACAATCACGAGCTTTATTTTCAAACAAAAAATGAAACAAGAAAATAGAAATACAGATTAGTTATTCTTTTAACTGAAACTAAGTTGAGAATGTTAGGAACATCATTCAAATATTTTTCAATGAGGGAAAAGCCTTCACAATCAATTCTACAATTCAATTTTAAGAAATGCAGTGTGCAGATAATCTTTTCCCCCCTATGTCACATACAGTTTTTACTGTTTTTTTCACTGAATAAATAAATAAATCTAAATAGAAAAGAAAACTTAATGTTTCTGAATGAGACCCTCATTTTCTCTCTCTCAAACGAATATGACAAGCCAATTATAACAGTTTTGTTGCTTCCGCTTTAAAACACAAAAATACTAGTAAATAAACAGGAAGAAAATTTATATTGAAAGCCCGCACTCATGTTTGTTTAAAAAACAAACAAACCAAAAATAAGTCAGGTCCTTTGCTGTATCTACAATTCTGCCTACTTGCCAAAAAGATGAAGCAAAAGCTTCTCACAATAGTGCTCATAACAGGTTCTCTTTCTGTCCAACTTCTCTCCTTTTTATGGGTTGCATTAGAACATAAATAAATGTCAAATGTATTAAGCAATCAGACACATTTTTAATAATCTTATTTTTTGTCAAAAGTAAATCAAATATTCTTATTAACTCTAGAATTTTCATAACTATATTAACACTGTAACAGCAATAGTATACATGTTGGTATAATCACATGATTTAATTCTTTACAAAAATGAAGAATTTTACAAATTGGACAGAAACAGACACCTCAAAGAAATTACATTAACACAAAATATAAACAACATGCTAATTACGTGCAGTTTTCACACGACATGTGTCAATCACCACACCCTGATTCATCAGGCACACAATACATGCATTAAGTGCAGAGTTAAATGTATCAGAACACAAAGAGCTTATTCCAAACCACAGGTGCATATGTACAAAATTGTTACTTGTAATACCACACAGAGCAAATGGAATACAATAACTATGTACAATCAACCACACTACTAGTACCAACAAGAAGTAATCAATTGTAAATACAAAGGAGATATGTTTGTCTGCAATGAATAGTCAATTTTTTGTAAAGACTGTTGAATTGTACAGAATCATTCACATGTTTGGGGAAAAATATATTATTACAAAATGTGATTTCTGATACAGCATATGGGCAAAAAATTTTTCTTATTTGATTTATTTAAAAAAAAATAACAACTAAAGCCCCCCCTCCCCCAAATCCTGGTATGTGTAAATAAATTTTATTCTTTGAGATGATTATTATGAAAGAAATTGTTCATAAAAATGTACATATATTCAAATTCTGTAATACCATAAACATTGCACAGAACGCCCAATCTAACTTGAAGTATTCAACAATTAAAAACATGAGAATTCACTATTATTTTCATGTTGCAAGCACATGATTACAAACTTAGAATATGCCAACAGAATAAAGAAATATCTACAGACATCAGAATCAACTCAGAAGTTCTTTGAATGTGTCCACCCTCACCACATAAAACCATACACCATATAAATTGGCATTTAGAGAAACATCATTATTTTTCTTTTCAGCAACTGAGTGAATTTGCACTATTTCAAAACACGTTTCCAGATACACAAGGGAAATTATTCAAAATTTTGCTGAAAGCTTGTAAAAAAAACTGGTTCTCTCAAAACATGCTTTCATAATTTTGGAACAACCAAGAGCAATCACTATACCAGGAAACACCAAGTACCTGTTTGTTAATTCAACCTTCAAAAGTGAGCCTCTACAACCACAACTACCTTTCCCTTCAATAACTACTCTATCTTAGGTCACCCATGGTTAAATTTCAACTCTTTCTTTACATCTTTAATTGTCAATTAAATGTGTGACAGTGTCATAATAAGGAATTCATTTTGTCTCAATGTGAATACAAATAGTATGTTTGCTGCAACTGTTGTCATGAAGTGAACATAACGAATTAACTTTTTTTGCACTGAATAATTTAGTGATTTTATTACGGTAAATTGACAATATTTATTATCAATGGGAAATATATTCTCTAGTCCAAATTAAAGTTCTGTTACAATTCTCTCATACAAGTAGTAGTTCATGTAGTAATTTAAAGCAAATAAGATAACACATTTCTTTGGATTTTTAAAGGTTTCTTACCACAACTTTCATTATCTTTAGGGGTGAAAAAATTGATTTTGAATCTAATTTTGACATATAATCCCAAAAATCTAGCATATTATGCAAGAATTCTCCCATTATATTAAAAGATTTCTTTATGATTTTTTAAAATAACACATTGAACCACATTTTACAGAGGTACAACAGGCAGGAACTACATACTATCTGCTTCATTAATGGCACCCAGCTCAAAATGGAACACTTCTATATCTTCAAGACACAATTTTCAAATCAGAGGTAAGTAAAAGCTGAGACAAATTTCTTGAATATTTTTCCAGAATTCCCTCCTCAAAAACTTGCAAATATATTTTAAACAAGCAAAAGAAACAATGTTATATTCCATAATGAAATGCTCATCTATCACATGTTTCAAATATTCACATACTACAACAATATATATCTTTTTTTTACATGTACTGTTTCAGACATTTCAGACTTTTAGAATGTTGCGTTTTCACCAAGTGCCATCTTTAGTCAGCACAAGATACTTATATTCACAGCACGCCATTTAGGCAAAGCTGTCGAGGAGCACCACAACAGAAATTGGAAATGTCTCGTCAGTAGCAGGGGAGTGGCAAAGGGACAAACACGTACCTGTTTGCGCAGCTGTCAGGCAGCACTCCGGGTTGTGGCTCCGTTCGCGTAAGCTTCATCATCAACTTGGCACTCGACCTTCTGAGCGAAGCCCGCAGTTTAGAGAAAGAAGCGCTGCGTCTTAGCTTCCCGCACTATGAACAAGGCAGAGGACACGGAGGATACAGGCTGCAGGACTCAGGAAGGAGGGGAATCGTACCCACTCTGTACCAGCTAGTCTGTACTGATGATTCGGAAGGTCCACCATGTGTTCATACACACAAATGTCACTGTGATCCAGCTTCCCTGAGAGTAAGCAGTGATCTTGCAATGAGATGTAATGGATAATTACAAAATTGGTGTTCTTCTAAATCAGGACACTCTTTCTCTTTAATTCAAAATAAGTTTCATTTTCGTGATTGCTTAGAACTTGAAAATAAAACTGGCCTCGATTTGTGAAGGTGAAACACAGGCATAAACAAT